GGCTTTCCATCTTCAGAATAAGCCAAACTGCAGCAAGAGATTCCAAAGCTGCCTTTCTGGTCTGACTCTCCAGAACAGAACCCCATCTTGCAGTCACAACTGCACACCATATTCACACCTCCCTGCCTTTCCTCTCTTAGCACCTCCCTGTCTTTTCTCTCATCTCTGCAAAATCTTAGCCTGACTTAAACTCAGCTCAGGCATCAATTCCCCCAGGAGTTCTTCCTTAATCTCGCCTCCTGCACTATTCAGGAGGATTTGGCCTGCCTCTCCTCTGTATTTCCACAGCCCCTTCCAGCTCTGCACACATCATCATGTCTTCTACGATTACATAATACTTGATGCTCCCTCTAGATTGTAAATGCCCAGAGGACCTTTCATTGCTTTTAATGTCAGAGTCCTGCCCTGGGCAATCCCTTAATAGTCCACTGTGTGTGGAATGAATTGGGAAGTTCAACTTCCCAACTGAGGTTGATCGTGTTAGCATCATTTTGATGGTTGCTTCCATCAGATGAACCTGTACTTCATCTCATACTAGGAGTCCCTGGGTGGTGCAAATGGTTTGTGTGTTTGGCTCCTAACCAAAAAGTTGGAGTTTTGAATCTACTCAAGAGACCTCTTGGCCATTGAAAACTCTATGGAGCACAGTTCTACTCTGATACACCTGCCTTCTCCATGAGTCGTGAGTCGGAGTTAACTGGCGGCAACTGGAATATCCCAGCAGATTCCAGAGCAGGTATTATCTTCATTTTATGGGTGAAGGAACTGAGAGGTTATACAGCTCTGCCAAGATCAGCCAGATGGTGCATAGCATTTCAATCCTCACCTCTCAGAAGATAAAGCCTTGCTTTCTTCCCTCCCCATTTAGTACTTTGTTTCCTGTCACATGGTGATAAGTGGCATCATTAATACGTCCCTCCTGCCCCACCCCCTTCAGTCCAAACCAGTTACCAGGGCACAAAAGTCCTGGGTGAAGAAAGTGAATTGTCAGGGACTCAGAAGGAGGTCTCCCAAGGACCACTAGCAGTCACTTCTAATCTGCTTCCTTTCTCAGGTCTCTGTGCCTCTCTGGTCTAGACTCACACCTTCAGCAGGGCCAAATGCCCACACCGCCTAAACTCTCAGTTCCCACCAGCCAAGGCTGCTTTCTCCCCACTCGGCCTGCTTCATCTCCCTTTGTCTGGGGTGTCTTTGTTTGTGATGTCCCTTTGGTTTTGTTCACAGTCCTCTGCCTCCCCTCCCTTTCTTCACCACCAGGCTGCTCCCTCCCTCTCTGCGGGGGCTGGGAGGCTCAGAGGAGGGGAGCGGGCTAGGTTGCCATGGTCACGGTGAAGCCAGCCGCAGCTGGCCCAGGCAGCTGCTCCAGGCCCCAGGGCCCTGGACTCACGGACAAAGCCAGGAGGCCTCGGCAGCCCCAGGGCTGGAACCCCAAAGGCCTGGGGCCAGGAAGAACGGGACCCAAGAGAACCCGGAGCTAGAGGTGAGAGAGTGGATGCCAAATTAAATTGGGAGGCTAGGAGTGGGGACTGCAGCTGGGCCCTCCCCTTGTGGGGTGGGGCCAGGTCCTGGCTGGAAGCTCAGTGGGTGGGAGAAGGGGAGTGGGCTGAGAGCGTGGTCCCAACTCTCTTCTCCACCCTCCTGCTCCTCCCTGCTCTGGAAACTTGGCTGGAGGCTAGGGTGTCCTCAGGAGGAGGGCTAGGACCTCTGTGTCCTGATGCCCAGTAACAAGCTTTGATTCAGTGTTGGGCCTCCTGGCCCGTGCTGCAGTTGCCCCTTCCTTTCTCAGACTCTTTTACATCTCATCTCCCCACATCCCTAGTTTTACCCTCTGTTCTACAGTCTTCCTCTTCATCCCCCACTTCTCAGTTTCACTCTAACTCCCTTTGTCCTTGCTGTTGTCCCCTTTGGCCAGTCTGCTCACCTCCTAGATCTCCTCAGTTGCCTGGCACTCTCTCTGAAGTTTTTGTTCCCCTCACTCTTTTCCCTGTCTCCACTCCAGTTCACTGACTCTGTGCAGCCCTTTCCCGCACTAGCCTCAGTCTCCTTCTTTGACTCTGCCTCCTACCTGTGCTGAGTGTGCCCATCTCCATCCTCCCTTTCCTCTCGCTGACCTTGTTCCCTGCAGCCTCAGCCTCAGCCTCCCTCCTGCCTCTTTCTGGGTTCCATCACCATTCTGTCTCCATCTGGCTATCAGCTTCCTTCCCTCCTCTGGTCCCTGGTCCCTTCTTTCTCCACCTCCCCCCGCCCCCAGGCTGAGCTCCTGTATCATGCTTCTCCCAGATTATGTCATCCCTTTCTCCTCCTTGCACTTCTGGACCTCAGTTTCCCATTTGTACTCAGTGGTGTCAGTCTGGCCCATATCCAGAGCCTTATGCAGCAGCGACCACCCCACCAGCCTTATCTCACTCTTCCCAGCTGCTGGCACCAGCGCTTCTCCCAGGCAGCTGTACCTCAGGGAAGGGGACTCAGTTACTGTAGGGGCCCTATCTCGTCCACCTACCTCTCAGTGGGCCTGCTAGTCTCCCTGCATCTCCCTCCCCAGGTGGCCTGAGAGCCGAAGCGGGTCTCTCCTCTGAGCCTCTCCGCACATTTTCTCAGCTGTTTCCCTTCCTCTCCTTCCTGGGCAGCCGGAGGCTATTGGCATGAAGGGGCCGGGAGCCGCCGATGGGGGAGGGGCAGCAGGTCCTTTAGGGATACCGGAGGACCTGGGGGCCTCTGGGGTTGGGAGCGACGCAGAAGACGCAAGGTGGGGTCCAGGGGCCATGGATGGGCGGGTGTGCGCGCTTGGTCTTTGGCGCTGCTCTGGGGCCCCCAGGATGGCTGGGATTTCCCTCTCCGGCCCCTGGGAATCTCGGCTCCGAGCCCCGCATTCCAGCCGGCTCCAGCCCCCTTTCCGCTGTCACTTGACTCCGCTGGGCCCCAGCCCTGCATACCTCCCACTCCTCCAGCCTTCGCTGGGGCGAGGTGGGCATCACCCACCAGGAATTTCTCCCGGGGGAGTAAGAAGAGGTGGCAAGGGTTTCAGGACTTTTTGGCTTCTTTCGGTCTCCCCATAGGACCGCTCTGCCTGGCGCCGCCATGCCACCTGACTGGGGATGTAGCGGGCCTGGGGTGTGGAATGTCCCACTGGGGTGTGAGGGACTGCGGCTCCAAGCCTCAGGCGTCTGGCGGCAGCTCGGCCTAGCAGGCTTACTCCAGGCTCCCACAGAGCACAGCCCCCAAAAGGCGGGGCCGAGTGACCGCCCAGGTGAGGTTACTTGGGAGGCCTTGGCCCCACCCCGGTTCTGGCTCCACCCCTGGCCCAGCCTCTTCGGGTCCCAGATTCCCCAGCGGCTGTCTCCGGAGGGGTAAGAACTACACTACAGGAACCCTGGGGCTTTGGTGGGAGAAGAAGGCAGGGACAGAGAATTCTTCGAGCGACCGTCCAGTTGTCTTTTAGCGAGTCCCTTAGCAGTTGGGGCGTTCTTGGCTTTGTGTGTTGACGCTGGGTTAGAGTTCGTGCCCATGTGTGCCTTGGCCTCTTCCAAAGGCCAGCCTCTTCCTGGTAGTGTTTTGTGACTTGTCTGGTTGGGACTTGGGGTTTGTTTCTTCGGACTGTAGTCTGGAACTGCACATAGGATGCGAATATATACCTACTGTGAGGTGCGATATGGGGGAGAGCTCCCATAGTGGGAGAGAGCTTTACTGTGCTGGTGACACTGTCTAGGTGCTTGAGAGATGTGGGGGGTATGGGGAGAGGTAGTGGAGCCCAAAGTAGATCAGAGTGAGGGCAGGACACCTGCCATCACAAGCTCTTCCCGTTTTCCACACCTCATCCTGCACCCAGCAGTTCTTCCTCTTTCGCATCTGAATTATTTACCCCACTGTCTTGTGCCCACCTGCTCTAAGTCTTTTGTTCTCTTGTTGGCTATGTCTGATTTCTTCTGTGCCTCTCTCCTCTTTCCCTCTGGTCCTCTCCATCTGGACCCACCTGGTCGCTGGTTGCATTCCCAGCCTATCCTTGCCAATGAGCAGACCCTCAGGCCCCCACCAGGGCTGGCTATGGCTGGGTGTGAGGGAGGCTGGCCCTGAGGACTCCTGGGCCTTGAGCAGGGAGCCCAGGGTTACTAGGCATAGGAGTCTGCACCCCAGGATCCCTGAGAGGACTGGGGAGTGCCCTGTGGAGTTGGGGAATGGAACTGGAAGGTGGAGGTACAGAGAGTAAGGGGCTAGAAGAGAGTGGGCCATTATCAAGCTTTATGGCAATCCCAGGTTGGGTGGTACAGACCAGGAGGGCCAGAAGGTACCAGAGAGAAGCAACAGTTGTGGTTTGAAAAGAGCAGTCTTGGGGGCCTGACTGGACAGGTGAGCGTGGCCCCCTCTCCTCACACAAACTCCTGCTACTAGGCCAGCCCTGGGCCTGTGGGAACCTGCTCCTTCTCTGTGCCCTGGGGCTGCTCTCCTTTAAATTCCCCTCCGCTCCTCGCCCCTCCCCCCGCCCCTTTTCCAGGAACTGAGCCAATCCCCTCACTGGAGGGCCAGGAGGTGTTGGAGCTTGGGAGCTCCATTAGGGCTACCACCTGCCCCCTGAGCTTTAGTGGTTCAATTTGTGCGCGCGGGGCGTGAGGTGGGGCTACAGTGGAAGGTGATGGGCTAGGGGCGGTGCAGCTGGGCTCCCTCCCCGGGAGAGTGCGTTGGCGGTGTGGGTGCAGCGCCAGGGACGATACCGCATGGGGGTTACCTGCGGGAGGCCGGGCGCGCGGGGGAGTGCGGAGTGGGCGAGGTGGGGCTAGGAGGGCGGAGCCAGGCGGGAGTGGGAGCTGCGGGACGCTGCGGCCCGGAGGTGGCCTGGAGGCGGCGAGTTACCGCGCAGGGTTAGAAGGCGGAGGGAGAGAGCAGGAGAGGGGCGGGAGCGAGAGCGAAGGGGGCCTTGGCCTGGGAGGCGGTGCCTGGGCCCGAGCCGCCCCAGCCCTGGCTCCTCTCCCCGGAACAGGCCCCCGACAGCTGCTCGCGGGAGCCGCCTCTCGACACTCGAGCCCCGCCGGCGCCTCCCGCTCGCGGCTCCTGGCTCCTCCGCCTCCCCTCCCCTCGGCTCCGCCGCCCGCGGAGGAGGCCCCACTCCCAGGTCGGACGCCTGGGTCAGCCGGTAGAGCGATGAGAGGTAAGGAGAGCGGCGGGGGACCCTGCGGGGAGGGGGGCATTGAGTGTCGGAAAGTGGAGGCCTGGACCCCAGGACAGGCGCGGCCCAAAGATTGAGGCAGGACGTTCCGGGCTGTGCTTGGTGTCCTGCACCTCTAAGTCTGTGCCTTCCAGCCTTGCCCAGTGTTCTGGCTTACTCTCTGAAATTGCGGGGAGCTCTCTCACCTTCGAGAAAGAGGATGTTCCAGCACTGGGGACACACTCCTTACTCAGCACAGAGGACCTGAACCCGAGGGGTCAGGTGCCCATAGGTAGCCTCCTGAGTCATGCTCTTCCTCCTCTTGGAGAACGGGCCTGTCCTCCCACCTGGCCAGTCCCTGGGCGCATCAACTAACCCTGAGCCTCCACCCAGCCAATTCCCAGCTGGACAGCCTGGCCACAGCCCAGTAGAGAGGAGGACTAAGGTTGGATGGCTGGCCGCTTGTCCTTACTGATGGTCAGTTGGTTCTGCCATGAGGTAAGGTCACTGTCCAGCGAGCACCATCCTCAATGTCCCTCAACCCCTCTTCCCCCAGCCTTCACCCCACAGGTCCCTTCCTGGGTAGACATTCCTTTCCAGCCCCTCCATCCCCAGCCAGAATCTGGCCTCAGACTCATTGTTGCCTCAGAGATGTAGGTGTGTCCAGAACCCAGTGGTAGAGTGGAGAGAGGTGAAATAAGAAGGATCTGCGGAAATGGAGAAATTGCTTTTTTTTTTTTTTATTGCCACTCTTCTCATCCATGAGTCCACCTGTTCCAAATCTTGACTTCCCTCTGGCTTGCTCACCCTGTGTGTTAGGAGGTGGACCCCAGTTCTTTTAGGATCCGGTGTCTGAGGGCCTGAGTGTGTGTGTCCCACACCATCATCTGTGGTAGCTGTCATTTCATTGCACAGGTGTCTGCAGAGGATGGCACTGGGCTTTCAGGAATGTGAGGTGTGGATGGAGCTTGTGTGTGTGTGTGTGTGTGTGTGTGTGTCTGTGTTTGCCTTGTCTGGGAGTCTATGTGTATAACTGATTTATGTGGCTGTCACATGCAAGTGTCTGTCTCTGAAAGTCTATGAATGGTTGTCTGAGACACTGCGAGTTTGTGTATGTGCACGGGTGCCTGGCCTCCCTGGCGCTACATTTAGCCCCAGTGTTTACAGCCGGCTCTGAGAGTGCGTGTGTCTGGCCATGTGTGTGTATATACAGAGCTGTGTGGGTGTTGTTGTCTGGGGTGGGGCGGGTATGGGGCCTGTGGCAGGGTGACCCAGCCCTTGGCTTGTAATTGGTTGTAATGGGGCAGTGTGGGGTTAGGGCAGGTTTCTGGGCCTGTCCTCTGTGTGCCTGACTGTGGAGAGAGGGTGTCTCAGATTGCTGAGATGTCCCTGTGAGTGTCTGGCTTGGCTCTGTGCCCTGTGTGCCTGCTCTATTTACCTCTGGCTTTGTGTTTTCTCGCTCTGTCTCCCCCTGCCTCCTATCCTCTGCCTTTCTTTGTATCTCTGCCCGGGGCTCTTCTCAGCTCCGTCCGGCTCCAATGACTCATCTGGGATAGGCATGAAGGTTACTCAGGGGAACAAGGGCCCCGCTGTTCCCGAGAGTTGGGGGTGGAGAGTGGCACCCAGGAACTCCGGGCCAGCCGCCTGGGACTCCCGGCAGCCTGCTCTCCTGCACCAGGGGACCCCCAAGGGACCAGGCATGATGCCTTCTGGTTGTAGCTCTCTTTTGATATCAGGTGCCCCCCGTAACTTAGTCATCTCCCTCAGCTGCTGCTTCAGAGCTGTGGGGTCTCAGCTGCCTCTTACATTCCTGCCCTGGAGCATTGTGGGAGCAGCTGGAGAAGGACAAAGGGATGGGGGAGTATCCCCCCACTCCTCCTACCTCCTGGGGTGACCTGGCTTCTCCTGTCTTTAAATCCGCCCTCATCTCCAAGGCAACTCAGCCTTTCTCCCTCAGCCCTAGTCTCTTCCCTCAGAGGCAGCCACTCTCAGAATGTGGGAACTAGGGGACAAGATGTCTGGGTCCCCAGGCGGGCAGGCAGAGCTGGGGCTGGACCTGATGACAGGGGTAGAACGGGGTGCAGGGGTAGGGGGTGGCATTAGGGTCCCTGAGGATCCAGGGCTGTAGAAATCAGGATACAGGGACAGGCCAGAATTGCTTTTCCTGGGACTGGGCAGGGGAGATACCCGAGTTTGTAGAGGTGACAGAATGGTTTCAGGGAACAAGTTGCCTGGGCTCTCTGAGGAACTGAGTGGGGATCCTTGAACTTTAATGGGCACACATCACCTGGGGATCAAGTTAAAATGCAGATTATGATTTTGCAGGTATAGAGTAGCCTGCCATTCTGAATTTCTCATAAGCTTCCAGTGCTGAGAGGCTGAGGGTGCTGGCTTAGGGACCATACCAGGCCTAGGAGGGCCAAAGAACAGTAAGGATAGAGGGCACTGGGCTCCTAGATGGAAAGGGGACTGGGCTAACCTGGTCCAGGCTTATCGTATTCTTAATTCTATCATACTCTTAACAAGCAGTTGCCTAATCTTCCCAGGAACATCTTTACTTTTAAAAAATCTAAAGAACTTTAGATTATTTTACATATATAATTTTATATAAATGCATGGTATCATTTATTACAGACTTTTAGAAAAACAGTACCACCAGTCCATCTTTTCCCTTTCTGTTTTTCCCTCTTAACCCTCACACTAATTTATAGTAGTCTATTACGTGTCTTCTCTCTAGACATTTATACAAGTAAATATACAAAACAGAGGTTTATTATTCTTTGTTTTCAAAAGATGGGATCATTTTATTCATGCTTTTGTATCTTGCTTTTAGTATTCAACAGTCATACAAGGAAATCCCGCCAAGTCAGAGATTTATCGCTGAATTGTTATTTTCATAGCTGTGTAACAGTCCATGAATCTGTTTTCATTGACTGAGTTTTCCAGAAGTAGAACACCAGGCTTGGCACAAATGGTTAATGCAGTCAGCTGCTAACTGAAAGGGTTGCGGTTCAAGACCACCCACAAGTGCCTTGGAAGAAAGGCCTGGTGATCTACTGCCAAAATAGTAGTCATCACAAAGCCTATGGAATGCATTTTTACTTTGACATGTAGGATCACCAATGAGTTGGGTTTGACTCGATGGCAACTGTATTTTTTTTTGACATATATTCTTACCTTCTGGTGCTTATCCCACCCCCTTTGGGTTTGGTCATTAGAAGGAGGAATAGTGGGTTGAAGAGGATGAATGTTTTAAATAAATAGATATTATTAGATTGCTTTTCAAATAGATGACAGCATTCTACATTTCTGCCATCAAGCATAGTAGTTCCCCTTCGTCACGCTATACCACCTATAGGTATTACAGCCTTAAAAAGTATTTTGCCCATCTGAGGTATAAAATAAGGAGCTCTGGTGGTATAGTGGTTAAGGCATTTGGCTGCTAACCAAAAGGTTGATGGTTCAAACCCACCAGTTGCTCCATGAAAGAAAGATGAGGCAGTCAGTCTGCTTCTGTAAAGATTCACAGCCTTGGAAACCCATTGGGGGTTGTTCTGAGTTGGAGTCGACTCGATAGCAGTGAGTTTGGTTTTGAGTTTGAATGTATAAAATAATCTCACTCATTTGTATTTCCCTGACTCTAGTGAACTGGAGTATTTAAAAATAAAATGTTTGTTGGTGAGTTGGCTTTGCTCTTCTGTGAACTTACCTATTCAAATCCTTTGGTTTTTTCTTTTGGGTTGCTTACATGTTTGGGCAATCCTACTTCCGTAGTGATACTGCCTCAGAAACCCAAGGAGGGGTCGCTATGAGTAGGGGCCAACTCGACAGCAAATAACAACAACAACAACAACAACATGTTTTTCTGGTCAATTTGTAAGAACCCTTAGTTTATTATAATAATGAACCTTTTGTCAGCTGTGTTATAACCTTTTCTTTTTTTCAGATCTGTTGTTTGTTTGAAGCCCTTGTTTATGGGGCATTTTTCTTTATACCAAACAAACAAAAGAAAAAAAAAAACCCAGAAAACAAACTGCCATCGAGTCGATTCTGACTCACAGCAACCCCCATTGGGTTTCCAAGGTGGTACATCTGGATGGAAGTAGATTGCCCAGTCTTCCTTCTGAGGAATGGCTGGTGGGTTTGAACCACCAGCCTTCTGATTAGCAGTCAAATGCCTTAGGCACTACGCCACCAGAGCTCCCTACAAGGTGCCTAGGAAGATTAAATTTTGGATTCTATTTAAGAGAGAACCATTCTAAAAGTACAACTGATGCTGTTAAGTAATCACCACTGTTGTCATAGCAGCCCATTCTGTCTTTATTGCTGTTGCCTGTGACCCACTCTCCCTGACTGTCCCATAACTGACCCTACCACCCACTTTGTCCCCTGCAGAAATGCTGCCCCCACCTCCTTAGGCCCCAAGGATCAGAAGCTATGGGGCCTGGGGCCCTGTCATCTCTACTGCTGCTGTTGCTGCTCTTGGTAGCAGCCGGAGATGCTGACATGAAGGGGCATTTTGACCCTGGTAAGGAGCCTAGATCTTGGGTCTCTGAGTGACAGGGGTTGGGAGGCAAGTAGCTGGGAGCCTTGACTATCCATATGCCTGTGTCCACCCAGCCAAGTGCCGCTATGCCCTGGGCATGCAGGACCGTACCATCCCAGACAGTGACATCTCTGCCTCTAGCTCCTGGTCAGACTCCACTGCTGCCCGCCATAGCAGGTAACTGGCACACCTGGGCTGCCCCAGATGGAGGTCCTGGGGCCTCTACTTGCTTTTCCAACCCCTCTGCCCAAGGTAAAAAGCTTTTGAGAGGCCCTATACCACTGAAATCCTTGCAGTCCTGGATGCTTTGAATACTACAGAGGGAGGCCAAGAGAGGACCAGATGTTCGGGTGACCACCTTCCCCCTTGCAGGCTGGAGAGTAGTGATGGGGATGGGGCATGGTGCCCAGCATTGCCGGTGTTTCCCAAGGAGGAGGAGTACCTGCAGGTGGATCTGCGGCGCCTGCACCTGGTGGCTCTGGTGGGCACTCAGGGACGACATGCTGGGGGCCTGGGCAAGGAGTTCTCCCCCAGCTACCGGCTGCGTTACTCCCGGGATGGCCACCGCTGGATGGACTGGAGGGACCGCTGGGGTCAGGAGGTGAGACTGCAGAGGTAGAGCCTAGGGAAGGCTGGGTCTCCTCTCTTCTCCAGCTACTTTAAACAGTGATGACTCTCCAATTTATACCAATTCCAGCCCAAGCCTCTCCCCTAAGTGCCATCCAGTGTTGCAAGTCTGACCACTTTTTGGACCTCGCTACCTCAGACTTACTATTAACTTCCCAAGTTGAACTTGATTCCCATCATCCTAAACCTGCTTCTCCTCCAGCATTCTCCAGCTTAGGAAATAATAACACCATTTGCCCAGTTGCTCAGGCCATAAAACTAAGGTTGTATCCCCAACTCCACTTTTTCTCTCACCTACCACTTGCAAAGCATCAGCAAGGCCTACCTCCACTTTATTTCCTGAATCCAACCAGTTCTCACCACTTCCACCTCTACAGCCCTTGGCTAGATGATGGCGGTTGTCTCCATACTGCCTTGTCTCTCTTAAGTCAGATCTCCATCAAGAAGCTATGGTGTGGCACCTTGCTCAGAGCCCTCCACTGGCTTTCCATCTGTCAGAACAGAAGCTAAGCTTACAGGATGCTTGGCTCGACCTGGCTCTTGCCTACCACTCTTCTTCCTCTCTTTCTTGCTCCTCCCTGACCCCACTGGTATTCTTGCTGTTTCTGGAACATGCCAGGGTTCTTTTCCTACTGCCTGGGACATTTTCACTTACGTTCTCGTTCTTGGAAGGCCCCTCCCCAAATGGGCACAGGCTCCCCTCCTTCCATTGAATCTTCCCCTACATGTTATCTACTCAGACAGCCTCTTCTGACCATCCACCTTCCCCCTGCTTTGCCCACTCCTTTGCTTCTTCACAGCTGTTTCTCCTACTAGAAGCTAAGTCCTGTGAGGTGCCTGATCACCAGACGGACATGCCTAGCATAGAGAGGGGCTCAGTCAAGGTCTGTTGAATGAACAGAGAGGGAATGGGGTTAAGGGGAGGGATCAGGTAGAATGAACTGCTTAATAGGGATGAGCAACTTTGAGACCAATGGATGAAGCCAGGCCAGGAGAGAGGAGAGGCTGACACTGATGTGATGAGGATGCTGTCAGGGCTGGAGGGGTGTGAGAGCCTGGTTGTGCCTCACAGCCCTGTCTGCTCAGTGCTGTCCTTCATAGTCTCTGTGGTTGCTTTGACCTGGGCCAGGGCGCAGCTAGAGACTGGGAAGTTAGATCCCACCCTGTTTCCTGGTCCATAGGTGATCTCAGGGAACGAAGACCCTGGGGGAGTGGTGCTGAAGGACCTTGGCCCCCCTATGGTAGCCCGACTGGTTCGCTTCTACCCTCGCGCTGACCGGGTCATGAGTGTCTGCCTGAGGGTAGAGCTCTACGGCTGCCTTTGGAGTGGTGAGTTGTTCAGCCCCCTGAGAATCTTGTTCTGGGAACAAAGGGGTGGGGCGAGAAGGACGTAAAGACCGTCTTTCTCCTGTTGCGAAGCACTCCAAGGTGAAGGGGTGATCAACATGGCCTCCTCATGTCAGCTTGTGGGGGTGAGGAGGGGGTCTGCAGTCCACCCAGGCTGATGCAGGGTGGGGGCTGGAGGCGTTGCTCCCCTAACACCCTCCTCCCACCCTGCCCAGATGGACTCCTGTCTTACACAGCCCCTGTGGGGCAGACCATGTACCTCTCTGAGGCCGTGCACCTCAACGATTCCACCTATGATGGACACACTGTTGGCGGGTGAGAGGAGTGGACCCTGAAGGACATGGGCCTGGGTGGGAGGGAGTCGGAGCGAGAATGGGGATGGTGTGAGCAACGAGATGGACAAACTGGGGAGAGGGAAGGACTAGGTGGGGCCTCAAGGGACAGAACCAGGAGTGGCAGGTGGCAGGCAGGGCCACCACTAGCCCATATGACACCTTTGTGCAAATTAGAAAAAAGTACCCCTTCCCTAAGACACTTATATTTGTTGGAAATTGCCATGCTAGGTATCTACATCGTAGATTGAATGGAGCCCCTTAGAGATGGTGCAACCTGCAGAGGACCCACAATGGACCTGGGGATAGGGAAGCAGGGGCAGGAAATTGGGGCAGGAGGTGGGGAGCTGGGCCAGGCCATCTTGTGTGTGTGGTAGGAGGAGGCGGAGTACCTGGCAAGGTGACTTCCTCTCCTCTTTTTTGCTTTTCTCGTGGCCAGGCTGCAGTATGGAGGTCTGGGCCAGCTGGCAGACGGTGTGGTGGGGCTGGATGACTTTAGGAAGAGCCAGGAACTACGCGTCTGGCCGGGATATGACTATGTGGGATGGAGCAACCACAGCTTCCCCAGTGGTTTTGTGGAGATGGAGTTTGAATTTGACAGGCTGAGGGCCTTCCAGGCCATGCAGGTGAGTGAGCTGATTTTTCAGAGGTAGGCTCTGAGGCCAAATAGGGGCCCATTTGGCATTCCTGGTCTTGACCCTGTGTCCATCCTACCTGCCCCTCAGGTCCACTGCAACAACATGCACACTCTGGGAGCCCGCCTGCCTGGCGGGGTGGAATGTCGCTTCAAGCGGGGCCCTGCCATGGCCTGGGAGGGGGAGCCTATGCGCCATGCCCTCGGGGGAAGCCTGGGGGACCCCAGAGCTCGGGCTGTCTCAGTGCCCCTGGGGGGCCGTGTGGCCCGCTTTCTGCAGTGCCGTTTCCTCTTTGCGGGGCCTTGGCTACTCTTCAGTGAGATCGCCTTTATTTCTGGTAAGTCTCCAGTTATACCCAATCCCAATCCCCGGAAATACTAGTTGATAGGGTCTCCATCTGCCAACCTCATATGCTCCAAATCCACACCTGGCACCATTTCTACCCATCACCCATACGACTTCCCAACCAAAAACACCTGATGTAATTTGAACCCTTCCATTCCCCATCCTTTATCTCTTGTCTTTCCTTTATGTGCCCCTCACTCATGACTGATACTGAGCCAGGATGACGGTACTTGCTGAAATACTGAAATATTTCTGCATTCATTTGGGAAACAGCCTTTTCTCTAAGCTTCTTGATACTTCAGGACACACCCCCTGTGTTCCCCTAGGAGCCCTTAGACCTTCCACAATCCAGCATTATGGGGTTAACATTTGGCATAGCAAGGGGCCTTTGGGAGTTTGTTCCCATCACTTCTGGTTGTCTGGTGCCTGACTGGTCAGTTACTCTGTTAACAAGGTCTCATTGCAAGTATGCCTGGCTTTCCTCTCCCTACCTGACTCCCTTGTTTCCCCTCTTCCTTCACTCCAGATGTTGTGAATGACTCATCTCCAGCTCTGGGGGGCACCTTCCCACCAGCTCCCTGGTGGCCAGCAGGCCCACCTCCCACCAACTTCAGCAGCTTGGGTGAGCAGCCTTTGTGCCTCCTTTGGGCATCATCTCCTGGGTCTGTGGACCCCACTCCACCATTCCTCCCTGGGCCTTCCTTCTCAAGCTGGGTAGAGAGCCTCCTGTGGCTCTGACTTTTCTGCGTCATCAGATATGGAGCCCAGGGGGCAGCAGCCTGTGGCCAAAGCTGAGGGGAGCCCTACTGCCATCCTCATTGGCTGCCTGGTGGCCATCATCCTGCTGCTATTGCTCATCATCGCCCTCATGCTCTGGAGGTTGCACTGGCGCCGGCTCCTCAGCAAGGTGGGCAGAGCCGACGAGGGGCTAGGGGGCCAGCAGTGGTTGGGGCAGCCTGGTGAGGGCAGCATGTGGGTGTGGAGAGTGAGGCCAGGGTGAGGCCATCATGTGTCTGGACTCCTGTATCAGTCAAGTCCAGCATGGAACACAGGGCCTAGGCAAATTAGGATCATTAGAGGAGGTTTAGCAGAGAACACGTACAAAGGAGTGGGAAGGGTATGTGGAAATCACAAGGAGTAGCGCAATACCCAGGGCTAGTCACTGCAGAGCTGTGAGCAACCCTGAGTCTACCAGGTGAGAGGAGGGCCAGCTACCAGAACCATGGAGAGGGTACCTTGAGAGGGGCTATGGGCTTTGGTGCAGGGATGTGGCTAGCCTGAGTTCATCCCCTAGGGAGCAGCCAGGAACTTCACTATCTACCTTCCTTCCAAACTCCTGATGGGGCTTCTCTCTGGCCAAACCCAACCAGAATCCTTTTGGGTCCAGGTCGTACTCATCAGCCTCTTGGGCTTGAAGCAGGGTGGAGAAGAGCTGAGAGTGGAGGGAGAGGAGTAAACAGAAGTCTGGTACACCCGAAACCCATGCCTTCTGGCTGACAGTGCAGTGGTCGTGATACATGTTAAGGCGGATCATTACAAACTGACCAGATTTACTTGGAATGCTAAACTATTGTGGGGTATCGGACAAGTTACTTAAATGCTCTTGAGCCTTAGTTTCTTTGCCTGTGAAATGGACTTAATAGTAGTTACTACAGGACTGTTGGGAGGACTAAAGGAGAGACTATGGGTACAGCATTTAACACTGTGCTGGGAATGCTAAGCAGTAGTTGCAGTTAATGTTTCCCATCCCCCATAAAAAGGCCGAACGTCGGGTGTTAGAAGAGGAGCTGACAGTTCATCTCTCTGTCCCTGGGGACACCATCCTCATCAACAACCGCCCAGGCCCTCGAGAGCCACCCCCTTACCAGGAGCCTCGGCCTCGTGGGAATCCACCCCACTCTGCTCCCAGTGCCCCAAATGGCTCTGGTAAGACCTGCCTTCATCCAGTCCCACCTCTGTCCTCTCTGTCTGCCTGTTTTCTTATTGTATGCCTTTCCTTCTCCTTTCCTAATCCCTTCTTTTCCTGTCCTCCTGAGTTTCAACTCATTTTCCTGTTTCTGTGTCCCTGGTCACCCTCTATATCAGTCCATGTCCCTGCCATATAATCTCCCTCAAGAATTTCTCATGTATTATCCATACTCCTCAGCAGTCTCATCTTGTCTGTGTCCCATATACATCTCTTCATCTTTACTACTCTCATTGTGTCTCCCTGGTCCCTTTCCTTTCTCCTGGACTTGTCATGTTCATTCCATCCATCCATCACTCATCCATACATATACATATATATTTGTTCTCTATCATCCATCCATCATCTACCACACACTTATGTCCATCCTTCGTCCACTCAACCATCCAGCTGTCCTCTATTTTCTGTCCATCCCTCTGTTCATTTTCCACACAGCTGTCCATCACTCTTTATGTCCCGGTTGTCCTATCAGCCTTGGTCTTGCCCTATTCTGGATCTCCTTGTCTGTCTAGCCTTGAGTCTCATCCCTTCCCCGTGTCTCCCCCCTCCTTCTCCCGACAGCGTTGCTGCTCTCCAATCCGGCCTACCGCCTCCTTCTGGCCACTTACGCCCGTCCCCCTCGAGGCCCGGGCCCCCCCACTCCCGCCTGGGCCAAACCCACCAACACCCAGGGTAAGCCCCTCTGCCCCGGGCTCCATCTGGCTCTTCAGACCACCACCGGGCATATTCCCTCCTTTCTTGGCTAGAGCCTCTTCTGCTCTCCTGAGCTCCCAAGGAGGAAGCTCTTGTGCCCTTAGCTCTCTGCTGCTGCTTGCTCCTTTTTAAGGCCTCTCTCTTGAGCCTAGGAATAGAAAGCTTACTGGTTTTAGGAATAGAAAGCTTACTGGTTTTCAGCTCTGTACACCTCCTTCTCTTCCACCCCATCTCTTCAGCTCTCCAGAGCCAGAGAGGAGGTTGCTCTAGTGGCCCCAGGCTCTCTTGTAACCCCTCCTTTCTGTCTCTCTAGAGCTGAGAGGAGGAGGGCCTCTCACCCTGGCATTTGTCCCCTCCCCCTGCGTGTCCTTTCTCTGCAGTCCCAGAGGTGAAGGCTCCCGCCCCTGCCCTGTCTGCTGCTCCTCTCCCTGATGTTGCCTTCTCGTTGTTTCCCCAGGCCAAAAGGGGACAGCTCTGCTTCCTTTCCTTCTGTCTGTAGACTCCATGTTGTGGTGGCTGTGAGGAACTGTTCTCCTCTCTTCCTCTCTGTGTGCCTGTCTTTGCTTGTCTCTGAGCTCGGTGTGTCGGGACGGGGGGGGCTTGGGTAGAAAGAGGCAAGCTGAAAGCAGGGGATACAAGAGCTAAGTGAAGGGGAAGGAGTGGATGGGACAAAGGTTCAGAATATAGAGGGTGACTGGATGGTTGGAACCATCCTTCTTCTGATGGTAGGTAGAGGAATTCTTTTTCCAGCTAAGACTTAATTCATGGTCTCTTGGGCTATGGAAGTTCTATAGAGAATAAGATTTAATGACACTAATTGCTCAGCCATTCCCATTGCCCTGAAACCATTCTCTGGGAACAGCTAACCCTCATGCCATGCCAGCATCTTCTCTCTGGTTTGAAGGTGGTGGGTAGAATACCAAGGAAGATACAGAATAGACCCAGTCTCTCACCAAATAGGAGACATGGGGCCTCTGGGATGCTGGGGTATGGAGCACCAGCTCTCTCAGGGGCTGCCACACTATTCTTAATGCCTTGTCTTCTCTTCTTTTCCTTTACCCGCCAGCCTGCAATGGGGACTATATGGAGCCCGAGAAGCCAACTGCACCTCTTTTGCCCCCTCCTCCCCAGAACAGCGTCCCCCATTATGCCGAGGCTGACATTGTCACCCTGCAGGGTGTCACTGGGGGCAACACCTATGCTGTGCCTGCACTGCCCCCAGGGGCAGTTGGGGATGGGCCCCCCAGAGTGGATTTCCCTCGATCACGGCTCCGCTTCAAGGAGAAGCTTGGCGAGGGCCAGTTTGGGGAGGTAAGAAGGATACTGGGCCAGCCACTTATAGCATCTGACCCGATCTGGGGCTCTGATGCCATGCCTGCATGTCCCCCTTGGCCAGGATCCTCAGTTGTCTGTGACCATGTTATCCTGTTAACCCTGTGGCTGCCTAGCAAAAGACCTTCTTTTCCCAGGTGCACCTGTGTGAGGTAGAGAACCCTCAAGATCTGGTCAGTCTTGATTTCCCCCTTAATGTGCGCAAGGGACACCCCTTGCTGGTAGCTGTCAAAATCCTACGGCCAGATGCCACCAAGAATGCCAGGTGAGAAGTAGGCCTGGTGTCTGGAAGAATGAGAGGGGAGGCCTTGAAAAGTGAAACAACCCAGAGAGAAATAAGGTAGAGACTAACAGAGGGGTAGTGACTGGGGAAGTAGGCCCCATTTGGAGGAGGTGGTTTAGATCTCAGGCCATCTTATCACCAGTGAATCAAACATGTAAGCATGTGTGCTGGGGGTTGGGGTGGCAGGAGAAAGGTTCCTGTCACCCCCTTGGCCTCCCTCTCCACCTCTTCCTGCTTCTCCAGGAATGATTTCCTGAAGGAGGTGAAGATCATGTCACGGCTAAAGGACCCCAACATCATCCGGCTCCTGGGTGTGTGTGTGCAGGATGACCCCCTCTGCATGATTACTGATTACATGGAGAATGGCGACCTGAACCAGTTCCTCAGTGCCCACCAGCTAGAGGACAAGGCAGCTGAGGGGGCTCCAGGGGATGAGGAGGCTGCCCAGGGGCCCACCATAAGGTAACCCACCTACCCAAGGTTGGGGCCCCCCTTGATTGCCCCCACGGAGATCTGCTCTGCTGCCCTTGCCCAGCCTGGAGAGAAAGGGGACTGTGTGGTGGGGAGGCAGACAGAGTTTCCAGGAGGGGCCTGGGATGAGGAGCATAAGACCATATTAATCTAGGCACTTGAGGGACAGAAAGGCTGCAGATTACTATGGTGGGGTTGGTGAAGGGTCTAGGACGCTGTCATGAATTTCTCTTCTGTCCTTCCCTCCCCTTACTCCCTCTGAGTCCAGACTAGGGCACATAATGAGAGGTAGCTCCCTAGGGTTGGATGAACTAAAGAGAGCTAATGTATGCAGGAGCCTACCATCTGGCCTCAACAGAAGGGTGGGTCATGTCCATGTCCCGTCCCTGGGTTTGGGGAGTCGGCTCTGCTTCCTCTCCTAGATGGGAATCTGTAAAGAGGGAAGGAGCTGCCCCCACAATGACCCTCTGTCATCACTCCTTACTCAGCTACCCGATGCTGTTGCATGTGGCAGCCCAGATTGCCTCGGGCATGCGCTATCTGGCCACACTCAACTTTGTGCATCGGGACTTGGCCACGAGGAACTGCCTAGTTGGGGAAAATTTCACTATCAAAATCGCCGACTTTGGCATGAGCCGGAACCTCTATGCTGGGGACTATTACCGTGTGCAGGGCCGGGCAGTGCTGCCCATCCGATGGATGGCCTGGGAGTGTATCCTCATGGTGAGCACCAGAGGGAGGCAGAGTGGGTGGGTGGACCCTGGCTTTCTGGAGAGAACACTGGCTGTCCCCCACAGTGTGGGGTCACTTTCAGTCACTCACCTTCTCAGGACTGCAGTTTCCTTGTCTATAAAATAGGGTTTGGCCCATGTTCTGTAAGGTTCTTTCTGACTTAAGGGATTGGTCCAAGAGTCAAGATTGAGTGTAGGGGCATGAAGTCAGGGTGCAGAGAGCAAGAGGGATAGGGGGAGAGGAAGCCACAGATAGAAGGTGGTGGAAGGGGAGATAGGGGGTAGGAATCAGATAAAGGGAGGTGGGACAGAGAGGAATGATGGCAAGAAGGAAGAGGTGGGCCAGGGCCAAGGAGAGAGCACCAGAGTATAGAGGAAGGTGGAGGCCTAGGGACAGGGGGCAGGCTTGTTGGGAAAGGTGGGCCAGCTAAGGGGAGGAGATCCTGGAGTGGGGAGAGGTGGGGCTGGGATGAAGGGCTGACTGGCTGGAGCTCCTGTTGGGAGAGGGAGGAGTGTCTTCAGGTCCTGATCCCTTCTCTGCCTTTGTTGCCCTGTTCATGCACCAGGGGAAATTCACGACTGCAAGTGACGTGTGGGCCTTTGGGGTGACCCTGTGGGAGGTGCTGATGCTCTGCCGGGCCCAGCCCTTTGGGCAGCTCACAGATGAGCAAGTCATCGAAAATGCAGGGGAGTTCTTCAGGGACCAAGGCCGGCAGGTCAGAAGGGAGGGGTGGAGAGGTGGGCCAGGGAGCCTGGGAGGGGCAAAGCCTACTAGCTTGGGGACTATAAAAGCAACTGTCCTCTATCTCTCGCCCATCCTGCCACCATGCAGGTATACCTGTCCCGGCCCCCTGCCTGCCCACAGAGCCTGTACGAGCTGATGCTGCGCTGCTGGAGCCGGGAGCCCGAGCAGAGACCCCCATTTTCCCAGCTGCATCGGTTCCTGGCAGAGGATGCACTCAACACAGTGTGAATCCCAGCAACTGGCTGCCCTGCCCTCAGAGAGGATACAGGGGAAGCAAAAAGAGACAATGACACTCCTACTCCATGCCCCCTCCCATCACCTCTGAATCCTGTGACCACAGGTGGACTAGGCCTGCCCAGGGAGTGATGCCTTCCCTGCTCGGACATGCCACCATACCCCTCCCTGTTCCTACTCCCATCTCCACTCCTAGAAGCCCCTGCCACCCACCCAGCTGGCCCTGTGGATGGGATCCTCTCTGACCTCTTCCAGCCATCCCTTAGGGCACAGTGGGGGCAAAGACAGGGCAGACACTGGACATGGCCCATTGGGACACCTGGGCCCCACTGGACAACACTGGTTCCTGGAGAGATGCTGTGGCCACCCCCCCAGCTTCTCTCTCTTTCCTGTCACACACTGGACATCACTGGCTGAGAATTTGGGGGGTGAGGAGGACAAGAAGGGGAGAGCCATTCCCTGATGCCCACTCCTGGAACTGTCCTCAGCTGTGGCTTCTCCCACCTCCTTCCCCTGAAACACTGGACCTGGGGGTGATTGCTGCCCCCACACCCATCATCCCCACTTCCCTCCTGCCATTTTGTAGCTAGTACTTCCCTAAGTCTGTACGTTTCTGTGGAATAAATACTGAGATTGGGGGGAAAGAGGGAGCAATGGCCTGTGGCCCTGGGTTTGGACATCTCTATTGTAGCTACCACATTGGTTTTTCTATAGTCACTTATAGAGAGGGGGTTTGTACATTTTCTGGGGGAGAGACACAGATTTTTACACTAATATATGGACCTAGCTTGAGGCAATTTTAATCCCCTGCTCTAGGCAGGTAATAATAAAGGTTGAGTTTTCCACAGCTGTGAGTTGGGTTTCTTGGGGTTTTGGTAAAACTGCCTCTTGCCCTCACACCAACCCAGTTCCTTTGCTTCCTTCTCTATCCCTCCCCCTCCCCATTCCATCTATTCTATTCCCAGCCTGCATACTTCTGTTCATACATAACCCAGGCCCTTGCTTGCAGGAGCTCGGGGCAATGGCATGAATATATGGACCATGTCAGGACACCTGGGTGGCACAAGCAGTTTGTGATTGGCTGCTAACTGAAAGGTTGGTGGTTTGAAGCCACCCAGCAGCTCCATGGAGAAAAGGCCTACTTCCATAAAGATTACAGCCCAGAAAACCCTGTGGGTCAATTCTACTCTGTAGTACGTGGGCCTGCAAGAGTCAGGGGCCAACCCCACTGCAGCCAACAACAGTGAACCATGTCTAATCTGGGGAGTTCCTCAGGAGGCCCAGCTCTGTCCTCTTCTACATTGTGGCTAAGGAGATGAATTAGGCTAGGGGTTCTTAACCTTTTCTGGTGTCTGGCCCTTTTGGCAATCTGGAGAAGTGTATGGATTCCTCCTCAGAATTATGTTCTAAAACCCCAAAAGTAAAATACATAGGATTACAAGGAAACCAACTGAAACAGTTACCAAAATGTCTAACAACTGTGATGTAACATGAGTTTCTTATTAATACATTTAATCTAAATGTATTAATCTAAAAGGCATAATAACCACTGACATTTCTAAGTAGTAACAAGCAAACACTATTTTGAAATTATTATAACCTTAATTGGATATAAGTATGGAAGACTGGGCAAACTACTTCCACAGAGATACTGCCTCAGAAATCCACCAAGGGGTCACTATGAGTCAGAATCGACTCAATGGCAGTGAGTTTGGCTTGGTTTGGTTTTGGTTTTTGTTCATTATTGACAAGTCACTACTGCTAATACTTCTGGGGGTTTTGCCTATATTCACAGTCGAAGGAAATGATAAATTTTCAGTTAGAGTTAGTAAAAATAAAGGTGTTAACCCCCCCCCCCCCACACACACACACACACAGATTTAAGGACTGATTGAGGGCCTGGGAGTCTGGGAGTCACAGGTTAAGAATCCTTGGATAAGGCTGCTTGAGTATGCAAATGACCCAATAGGTGTTAGCTTTTTGGATGGAAGCTGGAACCAAGAGCCTAAATTCTCAAAGAAGCCTGGGAGAATGAGCTACAACCACCAAGAATGCATTGAACAAAGAGTTCAAATGTGGTTGAAGAAAAAAAAAAAAGTCACAAGTATTGGACAAGGCAGACCTGGCCTGACAGCCAGTACCAGTTGCCTTGGAGTTGATTCTGACTCATGGCAACCCACTGTGTGTCAGAGCAGAACTGTGCTCCATAGGGTTTTCAATGGATGATGATCTTTCAGAAGCAGATCACCAGGCCTTTCTTCTGAGGTGCCTAAGGGTAGATTCAAACCTCCAACTTTTTGGTTAGCAGCCAACCATGTAAATTGTGTGCACTACCCTGGGACTCGTGTGAAATAAAGGCCCTGGGGTTTTGGTTGGTGACATTCTCAAAATAAGCCAACTGAGTAATGAGGATAACCATAAAGATACTTTAATCTTAGGTGGAATTAACAGGCCCTTGGGGAAAACTCTGATAGTCCTGCTGAAACCTACATAGGTCAGACCATTGTGCACCGTTGCATAAGATAGTTTAGAGTTCACAGGGAGGGACCCAGGCTTGTGAGCAATGGAAGCCATGACAGTGAACTGGTAACTCCTGAATTCACATCTCTAAACTCAGAACTTTCTATTAAGTTACAGACCTATCTATATAACCACCTGAAGTTCATTTGCACGTTAATCTCAGATGTCCAAACCTGCTCCTTCTCCATGATTTACCACTCAATGAGTGGCAGCAGTCCACACAGCTACAACCTTTTGATTAGCTGCCTAGTGCTTAATTACTGCACCACCAGGGCTCCTCACCGCAGCTACCATGGTCTTTAAAACATAAATCTGACCCCACTCTTTTATTTCAAACTGTTTAATAGTTTCCCATTGATCTTTGCATAACTGGCCAAGTTTGGTTCCCAAACACCTATCTAGTCTCCTCTTCCATCCTCTCTATCCGCCCCTTGGCCTTTCAGTTTCTCCACGTGCCATGGTCCCTCCTATCACAGGGCCTTTGTAGCATGTTGTTCCTTCACCTGGAACACTGTTCCCTCCTGTCTTTGCTTTCTTAACTTGTGCTTGCCCTTCAGTAGCCTTCCCTGACCAGGTCAAAAGCCCTCTTGATGCTTCTTTCAGAGCACATGGGTTCCTTTTTTGTAGCATTTATCTAAAAAACAAAAAAACCAGTTGCTTTGGAGTTGATTCTGACTCATGGTGACCCCATGTGTGTCAGAGTAGAAATGTGTTCTGGTGTCTGACCCTTTTGGCAATCTGGAGAGGTGTACGGATTCCTCCTCAGAATTATGTTCTAAAACCCCAAAAGTAAAATACATAGGATGACAAAGGAAACCAATTGGAACAGTTACCAAAATGTCTAACATCTGTGATGTAACATGAGCCTCTTTTTAACACATTTAATAACAAGATCTGGAAGGAGGTGTAATAACCACTGACATTTCTAAGCAGCAACAAGCAAGCACTAGTTTGAGATTATTATAACCTTAATTGGATATAAATATGGAAGACTGGGCAATTTACTTCTGTAGAGATACTGCCTCAGAAACCCACCAAGGGGTCACTATGCGTCACAATTGACCCAATGGCAGTGAGCTTGGTTTGGGTTTTCGGTGGCTGATTTTTCAGAAGTAGATCATCAGGCCTTTCTTCTGAGGTGCCCCTGGGTAGACTTGAATCTCCAAGTTAGCAGTTGAGGGCTTTATAGTTTTACACCACCCACGGACAGCACTTAGTACAGGTCCAATTCTACATGCATTTAAAAAAGTACCTGTGTGGTGCTGTGAATTACTTAATTTGGCCCTTCTGGCCATATTCTTTGTGACTCCCACACAATGACTGAGTGGGACTATGCAAATAAGGTGCTTTTGGCCCACCAAGGGGACTGGATTAAGCAATTATAGTGTATGGAGTCCTAATGAGAGGCTTGGTCACTTTTGCCATCCACTGGGCTTAAAATGAGCCATCCCAGAGGTGGAAAGGGGGGCCCTGACTACCACCAAGAAGAGATGGCAGTGAAGCACATCCTTTGGAGACAAAGAGCTGTAATACTGGAGATGGGGAGAGATGGCGAAGAGTAGTGGAAGAGAAACCCAAGAAGCAGTGGCAGAGAAATGGCAACAAACTAGAGCAGGAGATGGCACAGAGGTGCTTTCCAGCTCACTGAGCAAGAGAGTTGAGTGCCATCAGGTAGGAGGCTTGCTGGTGGAATGGGTTATCTCCAGGCACTTGGCAGAGCTAGGCCTGACAACCCACAAAGCAAGAACTCTGATGACCTTTGAGGTGAGGCTTACTGGTGGAATGGGAGACTTCCAGGCACCTACTTCATTTGCACGTTAATGAAGTGAGGCTAAAGAGCTCTGTAACACTTGCACAGCAGGGCAGAGGTGGGGCTGGTCCAAGATGCCAGAGTGACTAATGGCCAGAGAGAGGGGATGGCTGACAAGAGGCCTTCCTGATAGAAGAACTGTACCTTGAGTTGTTTCTGATCATGAACTATAACCCGTTGTTGTTGTTGTTGTTGTTATTTTGCCGTCGAGTCGGCCCCCCGACTCATAGCGACCCCTCCTTGGGTTTCCGAGGCAGTATCACTACGGAAGTAGGATTGCCCCCGTTACTTCCCTAATAAACTTCAAAATCTTGAGTATTGTCTATGAGTTCTCTGTGGCCACTGCAATGAATGATTGGACCCAGCAGAGAAGCAGAGGTCTGTGGGAGGGATGGCTGGTGTCAGAATTGGTAAAAAGGTTGGAGAGAGGAGTATGTCTGACCTCTGCTGATTCATAGGAAACAGCCTAGGGCTGATGCTGATGGTGATTCTCTGGCCCCATCATGAAGTTAGAGGAGGTCAGATACCTCCGCCATACCATTTTTATAACCTGCCCCTTCCTGTAGACTATAAGCTTCACAAGGGCAAGTTTCTAGAATGTGGCTCAGTAAATACCAGCTGGAAGAATCGACTTTCATCATATATTTAAAGGGCTAATATAAAAAGATTAGATTATTCTGTATAGTTAGAGAACTAGGATCAATAAATGAAATTTATAGAAAAAAATCATGATGATCATTAATATTTACTGAACACCTACTACATTCCAGGTACAACATTTATTACAGATTGTATCTTACTACTCACAAGAACATACGAAGTAGTTGAAAGTATTGCCATTTCACAGTGAAGGAAACTTCTTTGTTAGGCTAAGCAACTTTCTCAACCTAGCACAGCCAGTGCTCTAAGCACTCTGTTCTCTCTCCAAGATGCTGCCTGAAGGGAGGAGGTTGTGAGTGCTCCATCACAGGACATTTGCAAGCACAGGCTGGATAACACTTTGTCAAGAAGCGCCTTGCACAACTTCAGCTCCTAGCAATCCTTCTTAGGCTGAGCTGGTCCACCAGGCTGATTTTCTTCCTTAGGGCCAGTTTCAAGAACTCAGCCTGTGCTCTGTTCCTGACATCACCATCCTGTCCTCATCTACTGCATCTCTCACTGTACAGTGCCCTAAGAGAACTCTTTGCCTTCATGGAAATGTTCTGTAGCTGCATTGTCCAAAAGGTAAACACCTAGCTACATATGGCCATGGAGCATTGAAATGGGGCTGAGGGACTGAAGAACTGAATTCTTTTCCCCCCTTGGGGGTCAGTACCCCCATTGCAGTGCACTGGGTTTTCTTTTTTTTTTTTTCCAATTTTTATTGTGATTTAGGTGAGAGTTTACAGGTCAAATTCATTTTCCATACAGCAGTTTGTACACATTTTGTTTCATAACATTGACTGCAATTCCCCACAATGTAACAGCTCTCTTCCCACTTCCTCCCTGAAGTTACATCTTCCCTGTGTCCTTCCT